GTGCTAGCCACCCGAGTGCTACTCGGTTCTCTCCTCTCCCTTCTTAAGTCCATCACTCTCACCCTTCCTTCTTGAAATGAAGTTTGAAGCTGAAAACCCATGTTCGTTTCCTCTATCTTCGTATGCTAAGAACGAAAATTTGGACTACTCTTTTCATCCCAAATTGTAAGACGTTTGACTTTTTTGGCTCCAAGTTTGACCACTCGTCTTATTCAAAAAATTTGTGCAAATATAGTCAAATTTAAGTCATTCTTGAAGAGTTTTTATTAATAAACCAAACCACGACGAAAGAAGTGATATTTTACACAAATTTTTGAATAAGACGAGTGGTCAAACTTGATGTCAAAAAAGTCAAACGTCTTACAATTTGGGATTGATTGAGTATAATAAAACCACTGTGTCATGATCTGGTCGTCCTATGTCGTGATGAACTCATAGGTAGATGCAATAACTGCTTATTTAAATTCAGTTAATATCTTGTTATTTTTTATATTTTTAAAATAATCTCTGTTCCGATCGTTCGAATAATCTATTGTGTCGTAGTGGGCCATGGGCCCCCCTTGCCTCCGTGATTTGCTGAAGCACCTGTCCCTGCATGAGCTGTGAAGTCTGTGAGTTAGCAGTAAGTTTGCATACGCCCTAAATCTGCATGGACTGTAAGCCAGCGGCCAGGGTCAGGCATGCATGTCTCTATATAGACATAGAAATCGTGTAGCATTTCCTCTATCTAAAAAAATAAAAAAAGCAATTATGTACCAGTGGTCCCATCCGCTCGGCTCAGCCGTTACTCCATTAGCCTGTTTTCTTTGCTTCTGTTGCTATGCGCCATTTTGAGTATCGTTGATTTTTCTATATTTTTTCCTTCCTAACTTTTCAATCGATAAATTTTACATAGTATGTGTATTAGAATTGCTAATTGAGTAATATATATTGGGGTTGTCAATCGATATCTTATGTTGCTTTTTTATAGAATTTTTTATGCTCAGCTATTGTGTTGTCAAATGTATTTTGTATACTGTGGCTTAATTATAAATACTTTCATTAATTTTGTTCACTACTTATGTACATATAGATTTAATTGACAAATGCCACCCCCTTTATTTTACTTCAGGCTCCGCCGCTGGTGACGAACTCATATAATAACTCATAAGTAGATGCAGTAACCATCTGTTCGTGACGAACCTATAAGCAGACGTAGTAACCATCTGTAGATGACGAACTCATAATTAGACACAGTAACCATCTGTTGGAATTAAGTCAATCTCTTATCAATTTTTATCAATTTTAATATACTTTTGTTGTGCCGGTAGTCTTGGTATAAATATCGCTACAAAATTGTATGTCTCCTACTATATATAATATTTACTCTATCCATTCTAAATTATAAGTATAATATTTACTTCATTAATTTTAAATTATAAGACATTGATTTTTCTAGATATATAGTTGTTGCTATGCACCTAAATAATACAACAAGAAAATCAAAATGTATTATAGTTTCAAACGGAGAGAGTATTAAGAAAAGATCAGTTTACTAGTGATAGGTTAGAGCACCTCCTTCAGTTTAGGGATGTGAACGCGGGACAGTGGAAGCATCAAAATTAGCAAGCTAATTACTCACAAGCATTTCAGCATACCGAACACCTTATATGCATACTATCTTTACCTAAATTTATTTATTTCTGAAAATAATTGTGGATAAAGTTATTATATATAAATATATCACGGTACACCAATATAAACCGATACTAAATTTATTCTAAAACAAAAACCGGAATGGTATTTTTAAAGTACTCCTATCTGCATAGGCCAACTTTCCTCTATCCTGGCCCAACCCGGCCCGCAAGATGCTGAGGTCATCCATCCCTTTCCCCTCCCCTTCCCTTCCCTTCCCAATCGGTGGGAAGAAGCGCACGCCAATCGGCATCCACCAGAGATTCCCTTCCCACAGTCGCCCCGCCCAGATCTCTCTCACTCGCACTCGCACTCGCTCACCCTGCGCAATGGCATCCGCTGGCGCCGATGACGGCGCGGCGGCGCAACCTAAGGCCGTCATCTCGCACGTAATCTTCGATATGGACGGCCTCCTTCTCGGTATCTCTATCTTCTCCATGTTTTGTCGATCGGCGATGTTCATGTTCTTGGCCGCATCCCATGTCCGGAGTGCGCTGACGATCGTCGGTCCGTGGCGCGGGGTGCAGACACGGAGGGCTTCTACACGGAGGTGCAGGAGAAGATCCTAGCGAGGTACGGCAAGGTGTTCGACTGGTCGCTCAAGGCCAAGATGATGGGCAAGAAGGCGGCCGAGTCCGCCCGCATCTTCGTCGACGAGTGCGGCCTCAACGGCCTGCTCACCCCCGAGCAGTTCCTTGAGGAGCGCGAGAGCATGCTCCAGGCGCTCTTCCCATCCTGCACCAAGCTGCCAGGTGAGCCAAAGATGAACATGGACGCCTCTCAGAATTCTCTCCTTGTAGGATACCTATAACCACAGGTCTACCATTATGCATAATCGACTCGTTGTACTCTATGTTGACGATTACTTTGGTCCACTGAATTTCTGGGGAAAATATAACTCAAAATGAACGAGCTTGAGTTCTGAAGTTGATATATTCAGATGTAGTTCCATAGTTGCTCTGGCCATTTGGTTAAATCTCGCTCAATGTTGTCCTTCTTAACAAGTTGTAGTCTTTGATTTCTTGTTTCATGTACCACCATGAAATCAAAGCGAGGAATTGAACTTTAGCTGGAGGAACATTACGTGTTAAGTATTATATATCAATAAATCCATACACAGAATATTTTTTGCGTAACATTTTCTGTGAACATATAAATTCAACTTTCAGATATGCGATTATACTTTTGAGGTGATGTCAAACACAATTGGCCATTTTGTGCTAACTTAAGTTCATGGTATCATATGGAATTTGTTGCATATGCACTTCAGGCTGTTTAATGCTAATGTTGTCTACTTATCCATTGAAGTGGAGCCAAAGGAAATTGCCATATTTTTTCAAGATTTCAGATTGTGGCCTTTTGCAATTGACTCTTGTCCCAGACTTACTTTTGATTTTACACTGTTCCTCTTAAGAAAATCTCTTGTGGTAAAATTACTGCTTCTTTAAGTTTTGCCTTGACTGGTGGGATATTTTGAAGAATAAAAATCAACATTGTGGCATCATTGATCAAGTTGCTTTAATATAAGTGGTCTGTGTTTCCTTTCAGTAATTTACTCAAATTGTGATAGATGGTTTGCTTATGATGTGTAAAATGAATCTTGTTTCTTGCAGGAGTACTACGTTTGGTCCATCATCTTCATGCCAACGGAATACCAATGGCTGTTGCGACAGGGTAGGTTTCTTTACATCTGATCATCCATTTGGCCTTTTCTCAATGGTCAATGCTTATCGTCTTTCCATGAATTAGAACCCTATTAATGTTTGTTGCTGGCTTGCTGTGGCTTACAGGTCCCATAAACGTCATTTTGCACTAAAGACCCAGAACCACCAGGAAATGTTTTCCCTGATGCATCATGTTGTCATGGGTGATGATGCGGAGGTGAAGGCTGGTAAACCATCCCCTGATATTTTTCTTGCTGCAATGAGGAGGTTTGAGGTATTGGATTTGATCATATGGCAACAGTTGCAATTAGAATGTTCCTTTTGGATGCTGTCTGTGAGAATCTCTACTGATGCAACTGCATTGCATTTTTTTTAGGGTGACATAGAACCCAGTAAGTGCTTGGTTTTTGAAGATGCTCCTGCCGGTGTAGCTGCAGCGAAAAATGCTGGAATGTAAGGGAGCTGTCATAGATACACGATTTTTTCAACCATTTGTACCCTTTTTTTTACTACAACTCTTGCTACTTATACAGGTCTGCAGTGATGGTCCCAGATCCAAGGCTGGATGTTTCATATCACAAAGGAGCTGACCAAGTTCTCAGTTCATTGTTGGACTTCAAACCTACGGAATGGGGCTTGCCGGCATTTAAAGAGTAGACAAATTCCATACAGGATTAGAAAACTCTAGTGAAGAAAATGTGAGATACTTGAATACTGACGGCGTGGATAATTCAAATTCCATAAGATGTTGCTCAAGAAAAATTCCATAAAATGTTGCACAAGACAAATTCCATAAAATGTTGCTCAAGCATACAATTGAGCATTCTTGTCACCTCTTAACTCTTAACTATGTGGCATCAAACTACTTTATATGACTTTGTTTTCATTGCTTGTTACTATATCAAACATGGATGAGCAAAAGATATTAATGTTATACTCTTTTTTATCTAAATTATAAGTCGTTTCAACTTTTTTAGATATATAGTTTTTGTTATGCACTTATATATGTACACTATAAGCAATGTATCTAGAAAAGCTATATACATTTTTAAAATTTTAACATTGCCATTTACCAAGCTATATTGGCATGCTGTGCAAATCTGTGTACTGTTGGCAGGCTAGTCTTTTCCTTACAAACCATTGATGTTGATATACATTAGTAATTTAACATATATACATTTGAGGAATGCACATGGGTACGGTAGTGCGTCACGGAACTCTACCCATCTGCCCAAATCGCCACAGTACTTGGAGTTGGAGGGATGAGGCGTCAAAAAGGGGAAAAAAAACAAAAACAGCCTCTAGTAGCATCCTTTGACAGCAGCGTGTGCCGCAGCCTGAACCCCCAAATGCCAGGCTCCCGTTAGTGTCAATTCTCACTGATTACCGTGGCTCGTGACAGTCAGCTGGAGTGAACATCAAAACCAACCAAAAGATATAAATATATTAGTTCGTTTGCCAAGAGAGCATCAAACTCCCAGATTAAACAATATCATAACAACAGGGAAGTATTGCCCAACTCACCATGTACAGATTTACACTTGCTTCGGTAACATCAGCTTACCGCCAATACTGAGCCCATCTATGGATGGTCTCAACCATTTGGGGAACAAAGCACTGACGCTTTCATTGATAAGATCCTGGAAGAAATGTATAGCCTCCTCATCGTCCAGATCCAACCGGAATTTCTCCTGGAGCTGATCGACGATGCACCACACAAACAAGGAGGAACATGTCACTTTGAGTTTTTGACTGCTCTTTGTAGAGCTCACAAGCTCCTGAGCTCGTAAATAACCAATTTACCTTGAGACCTCCGCTTTCATCAACAGAGATATCTGGAATGCCTGATCGTTCCATAAGCTTGAATAGATTCAAGATGAGACTGCTGGACTTTCTTAGAATGTTGTATGCTTCGCAACAGTAGGACTTGAATCTTGTATAATATTGGCTGAAACACAAAAGCAAGTTTTGACAGTACATATCCATGAGGCAAATGAATGAAAGTGCAAAGACTTGATGAAATTGTTCAACTAATTACCTTTCTGCACCGCCCATGGCCTCAACCATTTCTTTACAAAGTTTCATCGGTGGTGGAAATGGCTTTGGGTCTCGACCAAGGATAAAAGCAAAGTCAACATGAAAAAGGCATCCATCATCAGTTAGAAGAAGATTATCCAGATGCCTAGAGAGTAGAGAAAGGGAAAAAAAATGTTATTATTGTTAAATTTGCATTTCTATAAGTCATATCATCGTCCATGTTCAACATGGGTAACTTCATCTATCAGGAGAAAGAGGATGTAAAAACATTGCTACAGAATATGTCCTGATCATGAACAAACTTCCATTGAAGTATGATGAGCACTACGATACTTGAATATTAATTGGGCAATACTGTGAACTTATTTATGTACAGATTTACATATTTTCATGCCTTCACAATCTTCACAAAAGAAACAAATGAAGTAAACACATAAATAAGTTCAGAGTCCTCATCCTAGCTTCCTGATCATAATATTGTAATAACTCCTTGGTTTGTTACATTACATAGAGCAGAAAACAAACTAGAAGGTTACTATCAAAGAGGTGCTTCAAACCAGGTGTAAAGAAGACAAACCTGTCTCCAACCCCCAATATATATGTAATGACAGAGTAACCGGCGCAGCTTTTTATGAATGTCTCCAAACATTGAGCCGTTATACCAAAAGGACCATCCTCATCAGGATGGAACTTCTGTAGGTAACTTGTAATACTGCGATGTTCTGATAGAATCTGGGAACATGCTACTTAAATCAACATAGCTATCTTTATGAAGTTTGTAGAAATAGATAGTAGTAATAAACAGAAGATAGAATTATTAGGAAGTTCATTGCAGTGCAAAGAGCATTTGGCATTTGGCAACAAGAGCTTCCACTACCAAGTTACCTGTGCGAGAGAACTGGAAGGAATAAATTCAAGCATCCCTTCATCTTGTCCAGTTGCAAGAACTCGGTATGGAGTAAGGTGCAAATCTAGATTTTCTAATTTGAGTAAGCGGTCCATCAAAGAAACCGTTTGAATAACCTATAATCATACAGAAACAATTAGCCATGATTCTCTTTCTCCCACTCAAGTCATCTAAATGGACATCCTTGAAATGTTACAAATGTTATAGCTCACAATGTTTCATTACATTCAATTAAAGTGTCAAATAATAAACTGATAAATAATATCACTCGTTCAGACTTCAGAATGTCAGGAACCAGAACCATAGTAATGAGGGTAATATTGTGTACAGACTGGAACTGAAGTAAACCATTCAATAGCATATGTAAAGCAACATTGATTACTTACCAACTGATCTTGCCGGAGGTCATCTCCCTTTTTGTAAATAATCTTGGATGTTACCCCGTTTGCTGTTTTAAATGTCAGGCGCAAAGGGTTCAAGGCGCTTTTAAATATAGACGATTCTTGAGGCACAACTCCTGTTAGGAGAAGAGTTGGGGCTAATGGTGAACGAATTGGCTGGAATCAGTTCAAACGAACAAGTTAGTTACAGCTACAAAGTAAAGTTAATCTGTGATCATATGTTTTAGCACTAACAAATAATACAGATTTACCTCATCAAAGTTTGTAAGCTCGCTGAAAACTCCTGATAATAGCTGCCTTAATTTTTCAATTTTCTTTTGTGCGCTACCTCTTACATTTCTTACATCCTTCATAATAGAACACAATTGCGCAGTGAGGTCAGTCTGCCGGGTTAAACTCTGCCACAGTCGAAACCCATCTTCATCCCCATCCTCCCTACCAACCAACTGTTAAGAACAGAAACAACAACATATACATATAAACACTGCAAAGTTAGAGACAGGGAATGAAAGAACCAAGAAGATTGTGAAAAAGGAAGAAAACCGTACTTTCATCATACTATTTTCAAGCATGTCATATGTGCCATAATATTGTCTTGCATATGCATGACTGTGAAGCTCAACTAATATATACCACCGGAGGAAGCTAGCAATTTCGATGTTTGACAAAGCTGCAATGGAGTGGGAAAAAAGATCAAAACACTGCAGATAGTTCTCTACGGAAACAGTTTCGTGATGACATAATAAACAACATAAGTTGACAAAAGGTCTGCAGGTAAAATTTCCGCAATTCATGCAAGCTTTGTGGTGACCTCAAAGTTTACAATGAATAATCAATTTTGCAACAGTAATAAAAATATTAAGTGTTTTGGTTGGATTGCACTTGGTGCTAAAATAATTCAAAGTACAGCCATGGAAGTCTGGGTGATGTACACATGAAGACACAAAATGACATTTTTCTCCTTTCAACAAACAAGTGGTATGTTACTAACATCAAATTTCACAGTGATCAAATGTGGCAGATGAAGTTGTGAACAAATATTTACATAGGTATTTAAACATACCACGGTTTACAAGAAAGAGTGCTAGACGGGACTTGTCAGATCTTTCAAACCGAAGAGCTTGCACTAACTGAAGTAAATAGCACTGTAATTCTTCATCATCAGCCCTTTCAAGTACGCTGACAGCATAACCGCGAACCTTTGCACAAAAACAATTGTTACCTTACAGAATACTATGAGATAATAAAGCATATAGCAAGAGTCAGAGTCTAATTATTCAATATTCTTTAGGAAATGAGATAATAAGATAATCATTTATATAACCTTAATTAATAAACATTTCTCCAGGAACAAAAAACTATTACCAGTGCACAAACCTTTTGAAAATGAAAAAAAAGAAAAACAGGAAAGCCAACAAGAAGTCGAGAAAGAGGGTACATTAGATCATCTCACGTAAATGATACATATCTTGGATAAAAATCTACAGCTCAGTGTAACGCTGACAATTCTTTAATGCAACAGCATTTTGGGTATCAAGTAAACAAGAAAACAAGGTGGATAGTAAATGGTGATAGTGTGCCAGATACGCACCATGCAAATGCCTACCACTGCAATCCTACTTCCAACCCAGCCAAAAACCCACCATCTCACTGCTTCCAGGTGCAGCTCTGTGTTAGGGTACAGGTAGGTGGATTGAATTTTAGGATCAGGATTAGAAGAATTGGGAAGGATTAGATCTGAATTGGAGAAGAGAGGAATTGTATTCAATGAAGTAACTGTCATGTCCCTCATGTTCCATAAAAAAACTTTTATACAACTTCATTGAGGCCTCTCTCTGATTTTCCCTTGTCTTAAATGACTACAGCAGGTCATGCCCGCAATGCTTACACAAGCAACTGATATCCATTCTGGACCATACAGACTGATGTGAGCAATTTGGGCCTCGACACTCCATCTGGATTGATGGCTGTTCTCTTGGGCCTTACTGGCAGATGGCACTGGATTGACACTCTGTTGCCTACCACCACCTACTGCAGGGCAACCTAGTGAACCCTGTAGAGCGACTGCTGTCATCCACCTGCATGCCTATAATTGATGGACATATGTAGACTACAAAACCCCACAAATCACACTTTTTTCCCTCAAGATGCTGATTTCAAGAATAAGAATAAACCAACACAATAAATATGATTTTAAGGAAGAGCAGCAGGCATTGTTTCAATAACACTGGAGAAAGAAGATAAATAGGCAACCTACTGCAAAACACAAACAAAGAAATTTGCCGAAAGAATGTATTTCTTTCTGCTTGTTGATAGCAAACTGCACGAAAAATTCCAGAAAAGAATGGCGCTGGGATTCAGGACTAATTCGCGTAACTAAACAAAGGGCGAAGAAGAAACATTTATATGTAATCTAATGGAAAAAAACAAACTAAACAAAAGAAGACCAGAAACATGCACAAATAAAGGTGGCAGACAGCATACTTCGTCACTTTCAAAATCAGGTGAGAGAAGCTCTAGTGCATCAGCCACATCAATCATTTCCCACTTTCCAATCAACTCAACAGCTTGCTTAGCTTCCTGCAAAGCATTATCACATTTAGGAAACAGATCATGCAGTGTTCACAGCTCCAAAAAAATCAATACACTTCGTTCCAGTATATAATAAAAGAATTTGAGATGACGAAAAAATTTGACATCAAATAAGCTAATTGCAGGTTTGCAGTACACTTTTATGTGCATCACTTAGTCCAGCTAGACCAAATATGACATTACAAAACAAAAGCAGAACTTGCACATAGGGATTTCTTTTACTAACTTGGTTATCACTCCAATCCACTGAGCGAACGAATTTTGTTAGAGCTTTCTTCTCAGACATCAAAGAGAAACGAAACTTCCACACCAACTGCTTCTCATCCACTTCCAAAGTGCGTGTAGGAGGAAACTTAATAATTGTTTGTAGTAACCTACAAAGGACAAAATCAATCAGCTAGAAAACAACCAATTGTGCAAACTATTAACATAAACGACAGAATTCTGCTTCCAGCATCTTCTAATTCAGTCAGCTCACATATGAATGTGGTTGTCTCACAAGTTCATGACAGCATGAAACTAAAAGTCAGAAAATTCCTCACGAAAGATCATAAGTTGACAGAGGGGAAAAATAATGCATATTTCACGTACTTTCGCTCATTTGAGCTTGGTTTTAGATCTCTATCAACTATCCCACGAGTCAAGCTCCTAGCAAGCTTTAACTGCTTGTGCTCAGATGGATTGGTTCGTCCAAGTTCTGGGTCCCATACAGTAACCAGCTCGTTGGATAACGATACTGGGGCCGGTGTATAAAAATTTGCTCCAGATTCCTGCATGGACAAGTAACACTCAGCATTTCTCTGGTGAAGATAAAATTACACTTTCTATAACTTGCAAGCAGGAGAAGTCATGTTCAGATAAATAAATATTATATGACTCAACAACTTCAAAATGTAAATTCCTCCAACTATGAGAGTAGCAGAAGACTATTCTAAATACACAAGGATCACCTTGTGCAAAAAAAAAAGGATCAATTTTACAGGTAAAAGAGTTACAGGGGGAAAAATAGCTCAGTGCCATAACATATATGAATAACAAGGTCAGTAATGTTAACCTGGAAGACAATTCTATGTTCAAAACTGCACAGTTCAACAACCAGGCTAGGGTACAAATTTTCTTTCCTCTCACACTCTTTCTCCTTAGCTTTGTCCATAGCACTGAAGGCAAGACGATCAAGCCAATCAACATGTTGTATCTGCCCTCTCTCATACTTGTTAACAAGCCTTTCCAAACGCTCTATCTCACCCCTCTCATTCCTAGGAACCTACAAGTTACATAGGGAAAAAAAGGTAAGTAAGTAAAAAAGAAGTGCAGAGATTAGCTGAGAGAGAACTACAACAGATGAATCCTGAGTTCAAGAAGAGTAAAGCGGAGTGTTACCTTGCCAGGAGTTGTGGTGGGGACTCCTCCGTCTGCCTCCTTTTTGGGCCATAGCCGCAGCTTCTGTCTTCCTGTTTTAAGCTGCCTTTTGCTGTTGAAAAGAAATATGGTGGCTCCACCAACAATCTCAGGGTCCTCACCAGATGAGACATCCCACACCTACATCAGAGATTAAAATACATACGAAGCTAAAACACAAGGAAAACCATACAGGTGAGAACTACATAAACCATGCTGGACACCAATTATCCTATGAACTGACCTTATTAACATGATACACCACATACTCATTGGGCATAGCAAAATTACTTCCCTAATATAATGTGTTACCACTACCATCAAGGTATAATCAGGTCAATAAATTTGATTCATCATTATGGTGATCTCCAATAAAATTGACTGAAAAAACACCATCCTATTTGTTTATTCAAGGTGCACTTGGAAATAAATCAATGTCTCCACTTAAATGAGAAGCTAAAACTTTCTACCAATAAAATGAACTATACAACATGTTGAGTATGACCCATCTAGTGACATTTTTATCAGATTAAACATGTGCTCAATTTTTTGAATCCTATACTCACACGGAACCCCTCCACAGGTCTGCTAAAAAAGATATCAACCTTGACACCCACAAAGATAGAATTCCTTTCGTTAACAATTGACAGGAGTGTGTTTGTGTGGGGCTGTTTTCCCCTAGCTCTTGTACCCTTTTGTTTTTTAATGAAATGACATACAGCTCTCCTGTGTAGTTTGAGTAAAAAAGCAACTGACACGAGTGGTGTACAAATCCAAGAAATATACCGTAAATGCAAGCTGTGAGAGGGACGTTAGGTCCCTGTATTTGGTACTTAGTGTTATGAGCTCATTCCAACAGTATTTCGGTCCTGAAGGTTCCAACCTAGTGTGAGAAAAAATGTGCATTAAAATTCCAAGAAACAGAACTGGTGAGTGCAGTCAATTGGCTGATATAATTATAGAATACATAAAAATAAAAATCTGTACCTTGTTTTTACAGGCAACCCAAATTGTATCCCATTGATGTATAGCTTGCACTCAACAAAGAGCTCTGGGACTTTTTGGTCGGTCAACAAGATATGTTCTGGAAACAGGAAATGTTGAGAATATGAAATATATATATGAAAGACAAAGACGAACAACATATTAATCATTTTAATTATGATGATGCATACTAGTGAACACAGGAAAGTTTTATTTGGCAGCAGTATAGAACAAATAAGTAAAAAGGTTTTCTTCTCCTGTGGGATAAAATGTAGACCGGTATTCTCGAATAAGCAAGAGAACTTAGTATCATTGTATTAACGTGGAGGATTGAGATGCATTACGAAGAAGAAAACAGGTAGTGTGGAGGATTAAAGATAAACATTGAATTTGAGCAATAACCCTAGATTCTTTCCCTTAATCAAAAAGAAATTCTGTCCTCTCGAGCTTCATAGTGTACTATTTACTTTACTTACAAACAACCCAGCACAAATTCGGTTCGGGACAAATAGAACAGAGGGCTAGTTATTAGCTGAGACTAAAAATTAGGCCAAATTAGATGGGGTTGGCCAGCTAACAATTAGTTGGAGGCTTGGCTAAAAAACTAACCCCACTTATTAGCCCATGTTTGGATGGGCTAAGCTAATTTTGGCTATTTTTTAGCTGGACAACAATTAGCCCTTGGTATCCAAACAGGCACTTAGAACAGAAAAGAGATCAGTGCTGTGCAATAACAGTGCAAAACAGTAAAATGCTGTGATGGTAGCAGTTACAAATCTGCAAATGAGAATATAGGAATATTGGATTCAGATCGCTGTTGGGGGCGAATTTGTTGTGTGAAAAACATTGGAAAAAGATGGATTTTTGTAGCAGGTGGTAGCACGGCGAGCACATCAGGACCGAATTGGCAATCAAATTGAGGTGGAGAAGAGAGGTAGTAGTGATATACCTGCGTGGAGAACGCGGAAGGCGAGCGGGTGGCTGATGTCGCAGGACAAGAAGAACCGGAACTCGTTGCCGCCGCCGACCATCTTTTGGTAATGAAGAACTGAGATGTCGCAGGAGAGGATCTGGGGAAAGGGTGACCGGATCAACAACGCTCAGAGCGACTGCGGTCGCTTGGTATGGACGGCATGGGAAGGAAGAGGACGCCGAGGGGAAGCGGCGGCGGACGGAGGAGGCGGGCGGGGTAATTGCACCAGGGGGCGACGAAGGTGAGGGCTAGCGGTTCTGCTGATCCTCTGATTCTCCCTCCTTATTTCTGCGTGTGCAGGCGGTGGTAGAGACGACAAGGAGGGAGGCAGCGGCGGCAGAGCGTGCCGGCGAGGATATGGCGGTTGCGTGACTCCAGCGGCGAAATTTTTTTTAACACTTTTTAAACAATTTTAAAATCTAACACTATTTAATTTTTTTTTCCAAAACTAACACTTTTGGCCGCGCCTATTTCTCTGGCGCGACAAAACGCCTATGCCGCGTCATGCATGGTGGCGCGGCGAGAGGGATGACGTGACGACGACCGGCGCTGACCGGTGACGTGGCAGGGTCTGCCGCGCCACCGATCTGGGCGTGTCACTGACGCGCCATGGAGAATGACGCGGGAAGCAAAGCTAGGCATGGCCGGAGCATAGGCCTGCCCGCGCGGCCTCTGACATGGCATCTAGGTCTGCTCATCGTAGCGGTGACTGTGGGCATCTAGGCATGGCCACTGTGGCTGCCGGCTTTACAGTGGGATGTATAGGGTCATTCTTTTATTTCTACTGTGGGCATTTGGCCACTCAATTGCTTTGATATGATAGTGGGTGAGGACTGGTTGGAAGAGTGTAGTCAATGTGGGTCCACTGGTCTAACAAGATCACGAGGTTCACCTATCAAGGAAGGAGAATTGAGCTTCATGGGGTTAAGCAGCAGATTTCACAATGCCCTGCTATAACTTTTGTTGCCTTGCAGGGATTATTCAGTAGGGAAGCTGTCCAGCATTATGTACAATTCAAATGGGAAAGTGATCAGGCACAGCAGTCTTCAGCAGCTATGGAAATTCATGCTCTGAATGAAAGGCAGACTGCAATGTTACCTCAACAAAGTCAGTCATTACTTGATGATTATGCTGATCTATTTCAGGAACCCACCTCAATATCTCCCCCACAGACTTTTGATCGTCACATTCAGTTATTGCCTAAAGCCCCACCGGTCAACATTAGGCCATACAAATATTCCCCAGCTCTAAAAAGATGAGATTGAAAAGAAAATTGTAGAAATGATGAAGAATGGAATTATCAAAAGTCAAAGCCCTTATGCTTCACCTGTTCTGCTTGTAAAAAAGAAAGACGGGATATGGAGATTTTTTTTGACTATAGGCATTTGAATGCTCAAATAGTAAAGAATAAGCACCCCATGCCAATAGTTAATGAACTTATTGATGAGCTAGCTCGAGCTAAGTGGCATCTAGGCCTGCTCATTGTAGCGGTGACTGTGGGCATCTAGGCCGGAGCATAGGCCTGCCCTCCGACGTCCATTGGATTGCCGAGCGGGCGGCAGCCTCGGTCCCCGCGAAAGGCTAGACGCGAGGGTCTCGTCGACAAGCTAGTACGGAGTACATCTACAACGACTTCCGGTAGATGCTACTAGATTTGACTACAACTAAAATATTTCAATTCATAGAAAACTAGTCCATCAACCCGTGCTCTCGCACGGGCATGGGTTAGAATTTTAGAAGATATAAGTAACCCGTGCGAGAGCACGAGTTGATGGACCATTTTTCTGAAACATTTTAGCTGCAGAATTGCTAAACCTCAACCGGTTGATTTGGCCTCTTTAATCAATTGATTTTTGGGCCATCTAATCTTACGCGGACGGCTAGCAGGGGGCGAGGCCGACGAACAGGCGAGGCACGCGCAGTCAGCGAGGGCCGGCGAGGCAGCAGGTGCGGCCAGCCTCAGAGCTCGTGGCCCGGGCCATGGCAACAGCCGCTGGCTGGCTACGAGGAGGCCGATGAGGAGGGCCGCCCCCATACCGGATCATCGTTGCTTCTTCTTCTCCGGACTCTGTTTGCGTGGGCATTCGACGGAAGTGAAGGGAAGTGCGCAGGCGACGGAAGGGAAGGGATAAGGTTGGGGAGGTGGGTCCCACCACAATTTAGGAAATTTTGTTTTGAAATTTATGAAAAATTTGTGAATAATTTGAAATATATTTCTCTGGTATCTGCAATTCATAAAAATAATTTAAAAGTATTTCTGAAAATTTTGGCATATATTTGTGTTATCTCTAAATTACACTACCGTGTTCAATAAATTACACTGAAGAAATCATTGTAAATCTAGTAATAAGACAGTGTAAATATAGCTAGAAGACACTGTAAGTACATGGAAAAAATTCAGTTAACAGGAGGGATGAAAACAACTGAATCAGATCCTTTACCTGTAGTCAGATCTAATAGCATCTACCAGGAGTCATTGTAGATGTACTCCGTACTAGCTGTAAAGCCGACAGCCACAGTAGAAATGCCCACAGTAGAAATGAAAGAATGACCCTATACATTCCACTGTAAAGCCGGCAGCCACAGTGGCCATGCCTAGATGCCCACAGTCACCGCTACAATGAGCAGGCCTAGATGCCATGCTGAGGCCGCGCGGGCAGGCCTATGCTCTGGCCATGCCTAGCTTTGCCTCGCCACGCCATTCTCCATGGCGCGTCAGTGCCGCGTCCAGATAGGTGACGTGGCAGACCCTGCTACGTCATCGGTCAGTGCCCCGGTCGTCGCCACGTCATCCCTCTCGCCGTGCCACCATGCATGGCGTGGCATAGACGTTTCGCCGCGCGCAGGGAAATAGACGCGGCCAAAAGTGTTAGTTTTGGAAAAAAAAATTAAACAGTGTTAGATTTAAAATTAGTTTACAAAAAATATTAAAAATAAAAAAAATCCCCAGCGGCGAGGATTCGCTGGGTGTGGATGAAGAAGCAGTTGTGCCCGCGGGTGCTGAGTTCGACCCGAATGCGCTCCGGTCCAACCGCTTGCTTTAGCAGCCCACCCGTTCAAACCTAACCACGTCAAACCATGATAGAGCCCAGTCCGTGTAACCCGAAGAAACACGGCCCATTGGTAATGGCTTCCGTTCCACAAAATCACACGGTGTAACAATTCCAGTAATTAAATTTTGAAAAAACGGACTTGCTAGCATCTGAACGTCTGATTCAGGGCGCTAGTGTCAGACGGTGCTTCCGCGCCCGCGCCTAACACACCTAGCTCCCTCGCGCCGAGCCCATGCCTGACACACCCAGCTCTCATGCGCCCGCACCCATCTTGCTCCGAAGGCCGCATGGGTCCACGCATGCGCGGGGACCACCTTGAGCCAGCTTCGTTTCATGCGCCTGCATGCACGCAGTGGCAGCATCAGCACCAGCAGACGCGCGCGGTGACCCACGGCGGCGCACTAGCAGCAGCAGCACGTGCTTTCCCAAGATCTACTTTTAAAACATTCAAATGAAACACTTGCAACATAGGTCTGAACCAGATGAAACACTTGAAACATGCACTTAAAACATGCGTGTATAGCCATAACAACATTTGCAACACAAAATCTACTTTTAAAACATCCAAATGAAATATCTGCAACATACATCTGAAATAGATGAAACACTTGAAACATGCATGTATAGCCATTGCAACATGTGGATCTACATCTGAAACATCCAGACGAAACATTTGCAACATATGTCTAAAACACCTAAAACATTTGAAACATACGCTCGCAACATGAAATACGCTTGCAATATGCCTATATAGCTATTGCAACATAGGCAACATCCAGATAAAATACTTAAAAACGTACGTCTGAAACATATGAAACACTTGAAATACAACATTATCAGCAACCACGGCCTACCTGGTGGGGAACTGCGGTAGCCCCCTCCTCTCTACAGAGGCCGGGGACTTGACGACAACGGACTTGGAGGAGGCGGCGAAGGCCTCGGCCTCGATGGCCGCGGCGGCAGGCTCGACATCGGGCTTTGGGACAACACCGTAGCCTCCGGAAGGGGACGCTGGGCACGCAAGCGTCTGTACAAGGCGGCGCACCACAGCGCTGCAACGGTGGCCAGATGTTGAGCAACGGCAGCAGCACCTTCGCGACCTTGGAGCTCGCGGCAGCCGCCAGGACGGCGTTGGTGGATCCTCGGGGGTCGCAGGCTGGCTGCCCTCGGCGGCAGCGTTGGGGGCGTCCTCCGCCATGGCTGCGACCTATGGGGGAGAGTTCGAGTGGACCACGCTGGAATCCGCGGTGGTGCGGGCTCGACGTCGAGTGGAGGTCACGTGAAGCTAGGCTCCGAGCGTTCTGGAGTGAATTTTTTTACAAACTTATGGAGTGGAATATGGGCAAGACGCAGTGGGCCACTCGGGCTGTCATGGCCCACGACAACGGGAGCGTCCGGACGCCCTAAGAGAGCATTTCCGTTTTGAAAGAGCATAACTAGACCGTAGCGAGAGCGAGAGGAGAGAGTATTTTTATTTTTTTCGAAGAAGAGAGAGCTTTATTAACTACTCAGAGTTTGGGATATAATTCCGAGTTACATGTTGCTCAACACAAGTCGGCACACTAAAATGCCAAACAGCTAAGTGTTTGTTTTGTTTCGCCAACTGTGCAAGCTCATGAGAGTTTTGGTGTCATCGACGTGATGGTTGCGACGATGATACTTTAGAATAAGGTCTCTCCGGTCTATCCCTACCTCAGCGTTGTTTGTGTCGGTGAAGGAGCAATTAGAGTGTGGTCCGTAAGATCTGTTGATCTTGTTCAGATCTTGGCAGTTGGTGTCCTTATCAAAGAAAGTAGTCGGTTGACTTTCGACGCAGCGATCTCGACCTCTTCTTTTGATTTGTTCTACTACAAGACCTGAAATCTTTTTTTAGGCAAAATACTGTGGGGGAGAGCCCCACAGTTTGGTTTTAAATTAATTTAACCGGAGTTTACGGATATACAGACCTGGTTTTAACTGTAAGCATCTAACCAAAAGCAAAAGGAGGGCCTAAGGTCTTCCTTGA